TAGAAGCTTCCTATACAGAAAGCTGTAACCTGAACAAAGCAAGAATATAACTCCATGGTTCAAAATCAAGAAAAGAGTGCATCCAGGATTTTTTTTTATTTGCAGATCAGATCATTTGGAAGTCTGGATTTTATGAACAAGAATAATAGCCTCAGGATTTGAGGAAGATGCATCAACAGCTAACATTATGCAGATAAACACAGTCTTGTTCAACACGACTGAGGAGAATTTGAAGGATTTGCTGCAGAAAGTTAAGGATTGCAACCTTCAATATGGATTCTATCTCAACATCAAGAAGACAAAGATCTTCACTACCAAGTCAGTAGGCAGGATCATGATAGAGGGAGAAAAGATTGAGGTTGTTAACAATTTCATCTTGCTTGGATCCACAGTCAACACTTTTGGCACCAGCAGTCAGGAAATAAAAAGGTAAGTTTCATTGGGAAAATTTGCTGTCAAGAGCTTCTCTAAGTTCTAAAAAGCAATGATGTCAATCTAGAGACTAAAGTGTTCCTGATCTAGGCCATGGTCTTCTCAGTTGCTTGCTATGCCTCTGAGAGCTGGACAGTGACCAAGGAAGACAAAATAAGAGTCCATGGTTTTGAGTTGTGGTGCTGGATAAAAGTATTGCACGTATGATATCCTACCAGGTGAATAAACATATCTGTCAAACAGGGGAGGGTGGAACCGTTTGCTCCTTGGAGCCAAGGATTTTGAAGCTGAGTCTCACATATTTTGTGCATGTTGCCATGAGATTTCAGTCCTTGGAAAAGGACATCCTACTTGGAAGGGTGGTAGGTCAGTGCAGGAATGGAAAACCCTGGGTAAGGTGGATTGACACAGTGACTGTGGCAATGAAATCAGGTGACAAGAGATGGTGAGATTGACTATAGAGCATGGTTCCAAGACTTCGTTCTTCAGGTTGCTATGGCTCGTAATGGCTTAATGGCGCATTACAACAACATATACAGGGACCTCTGATGGCCTAGTGGTAAGAAGCAATCAGCAACTGGCCCAGAGGACTTGCTTTCACTGCCATCACTGTCAAGGTGGATCTTGACATGAGACTCATGGCTGACCCTTCACCGAGTTTTCAGAGGCTGTAAATAAGTCACACAGGAAGAGAATGCCTTTCTCCCGTAAGATTTCATTAGTTTCCCAATAAAAACAAAAATTCACATTAAAAAAAAAAATAGAAGCAGGATTGGGATCCCAAAAGCATGTGGTTTGAATCCACCAGCCACTCTGCGCGAGAAGGATGGGCGGTCTCTCATGCAATATATTGTCTCTGAAAATCCACTGGAGGGTTTCAACTTGACAGCACACAGCAACAGCATATACATGTTGAAATTGAACGTTGAATCAGGAAGACCTTAGAATTGATGGCTTTTGATTTGGGTGTGTTAGTGAAGCTTCAATAAACCACAGTATCAAAGGAACCAACAAATCACCCTTGGAAAATGTGTCATCCAAATGCTTCTTAGAGGAGAGTAGGTCACACATACTCTGGACATCTTACCAGGAGGGGTCAGTGCCTGGAGAAAGACATGATGCTTGATAAAGTAGAAGGTCACTGGAAAAGAGGACGGCTCCCAACTAGATAGATGACACAGTAGCTGCAACAGTGAACCAAAGTACATCAGAGATTGTGAGGATAATTTAGGGATGTTGTTGTGTACTATGAAGTCGGACAGACCCCAAGCTGACCCTCCAGTGGGTTTTCAGAGGCAGTTCATTGCACAGGAGGAGATTGCCCATCGTTCTTCCATGGAGCAGCTACTGGCATTGAAATAATATGCCTTTAGGACTGCAGCACACCTTGCCACTGCAGTACCCTGGGTCACTATGAGCCAGAACCCGTTAACCTATTAAAAACACTTGAGCATCCAAAGTCTTTTGCTTTTCATTCATGTCATTAATCTATAGGGGTACATCATGCTTGAAAAGATGGAGGGTCAGTTAAGGAAAGGAAGTACATATTGAGCTTCTAATAGTGCTAGAGATTTTTATCATTAAGTGGTGTAAGTAACACTTAATATCCCTATTGCTATGCTTTACCCCTTATAGAGAATATTCTTTTTTTATAGAGTAGAAAATGACAGGCTATGGCCCACAGGTTGTCATTTGACTACTGTTTGACTACTGTTACATCTGTTAACTGGGACGTGTTATTGTTTGGTGCTGTCAAGTTGAGTACTTCTCATAACAACTCTATAAACAATAGATCTGAATCGTATCCTGTATCATGCCATCCTCATGCTTGACGTGCTTGAGCCCACTGCAGCTGTTGTTGTGTCAGTCTACCTAGTTGAAGGTCTTTTACTAATCTCCACCTTTACAAACATGATGTCCTTCTCCAAGGAATAATCTCTCCTAACAATATACCCAAAATAGATGAAATGAAACTTTAACATCTTTGCCTCCAAGTAGCACTGTGGCTGTACTTTCTCCAAGACATATGTTTTATTCTTTTGGAAGTCCATGAGATACTCAGTACTGCAACACCACAACTCAAAAAACATTAGTTCTTCTTTTATCGTTATTCATTGTCCATCCCTCAGATGCATAGCAAGTCATTGAAAAGACTTTGACATCATTCTGTTTGATTAATCCCAGTCAATAAGGCAAGCAATAATAAGATCGTTCATAAACATCTAGCTGTCTAAAATGGACAGATGAATCATTCTGCCTGTATAAACAAGCTAGATGGATAATAGAAGGGAGATTGGGTTTGTTACTCTTTTAAGATTTCAGGGTGTCTTCAGGCTGAAATGTCAGTATTCTCAGTGGGAAAAACCTGAGAAAAATGCTTATATAAGGACAGTGCTATTCGTTCAGTAAACCAAAAAAGCACGTTATGCTGGCCATACATTGCCTTTCTGATTATTTCCTTGGGAATTTGCAAGAACCTCCCCTTTCCCTTCCTCCAAGTAAGGCCATTTAAGTGTGTGTTAAATGACTACAGAATAATAAATTTAAAAAGTTGGGCAAACAGCAAATGCTGGCAAGGTTTTGGAGAAACTGGAACCCTTATTCACTGTTGGTGGAGTGTAAAATGGTGAAACCACTATTGAAGGCAGAATGGCGCTTTCTCAAAAAGTTGGAAATAGGAATACCATTTGACCAGCAATTCCACAACTGAGAATATACCCTAAAGAAACCATAACCGCCACCCAAGCAGATACACCCATGTTTGTCGCAGCTTTGTTCACAATAGCAAAGAGTTGGAAACAATGCAAGTGTCCATCAACAAACCAATGGATAGAGAAGCTGTGATATGTTCACGCAATGGAATACTATGCTGCATTAAAAACAAGGAACTTATGAAATATTCTACAAAATGAGTGACCCTGGAGGACATTATGCTGAGCAGAATATCTCAGTCACAAAAGGACTGATACTGCATAGTGCTACTCTTATAAAGCGGGACTGACATCGGAGTTGGGGGGGAAACTTAGAGGGGATAAATAATGTATACTGCATTGAAATAGATGAGGGAGAGAACTGTTTAGGAGGAATCTATGATTAGTTATTATTGTTATGACAAGAGTCCAGAATGAAAGCTCCATAGTGGAGTGAACTGGGGGGGGGGTGAGGATAGAGGGGGTGGATTGTGTAACAATGCAAGATTTTTATTTTTTTTACTTTTCGAAGAGAAAAGCGAACTGGGGGGAGGGGTGGTCAGGGAGGAAAGTATGCAACAATGAATGAATGGAAAACCAAAGTCTCTGTAAACTTTCATTAAAATAAAAAAAAATAATAATAATTTCTGGGGAGGAAAACCAACAACAAACATTTGGCCAAAATAAAATTAAAGATAAGACTGTGGCCTGAATCAGACACATCTTAGTCCTCAAACTGACATCATTGCTCCTCATTAATTTAAAAAGGTCCCTGACTTCACACTTTCACATTGCAGCATGTCTCCTGATCTTCTGACTGTTGGTACCAAGGGTGTTGATTGTAGATCCAAGTAAGATGAAATCGTTGACAGTTTCAACCTTTTCACCATCTATCATAATATTTATCAGTCCACTGGTGAGGGTATTTTTTCCTTAATGTTGAGAGGTAATCCACATTGAAGGCACTAGTCTTCGATCTACTGCAACAAGTTCTTCAAGTTCTCACTTTCAGTAAGGCTGTATTGTTTGCATAATGCAGGCTGTTGATTAATCTCATTTGTCAACGTGTTATCTATGGCTGCTTTTTTTAAAGGAAAAAAATTCATTTTCATGCAAAAAAAAAAGACATTGTGTTTCATTCATGTGCATTGTGTTTTATGCAGTTATTCCATAAGTGTTGTATTTTATATAATTAGCATTGATCTATACCTATTACCAACCCCCTTTTCAAGTCCCCATTGAATCTTTCCTATTCCTTTGCCCCCACACTGCCTTCTAACCTCCGCTGTGGTGTTCATGGGGAGGAGGGAGCAGAAGGGCAAGGGGGAAAAATCACTAGGATATGGCTGCTTTGTGCTACAACAGTAGAGTTGAGTCCTTGCAACAGAGAACATGTGGCCCATAAAACCTGATGTATTTACTCTGGCTGTTTATAGAAACAGCTTTCTGATATTTGAAATAAAGCACAATATTTTTAGAAGCTTAAATGACCAGTTAAAAGCCCTGGGAAATTTTTGTTTTATTTTGAAATTTTCTTTGACTCCAAAACTAAAAATATGAGTCACCTTGGGATCTAGTTTAAGATAATTAAATTCTAGGTAAATTTGTAATGAGTATAATTCATTTTAAAAAAGACTTAGAGGAGAGCAAGGAATTGGTTAGGACCCATTATGTATCAGGCACTGAGAAAGCCGGAGAAGTACCTGTGAAGATACTACCTTTGAAGTAACTACCTTTGAAAAACAGAAATGTGATTTCCCCCCACCCCTAATTTACGTATGACTTTTCAAATAGCAACGTTTTTTTCTATTTTATTTTTTAGAGACTGCTGTGTTTCAGAAAAGGATGTAACTTTCTGAATAATTGCAAATGAGAAGAATGAGTCCAGATGTACCGCTGCTGAATGATTATAAACAGGACTTCTTTCTGAAGCGCTTTCCACAGACTGTGCTTGGAGGCCCTCGGCTCAAATTAGGCTTTTGTGCCCCTCCTTACATATATGTTAATCAGATTATCCTTTTTCTGATGCCATGGGTTTTGGGTGGAATAGGAACACTTTTGTATCAGTTAGGCATCTTGGAAGACTATTACACTGCAGCACTTTCAAGTGGACTAATGCTTTTCAGTGCATTTGCCATCCAGCTCACAAGTTTGTATGCCAGAAACAAATCCGTGACAGTGGAAAGAATGCTAACCACAGATATCTTAGCAGAGGAAGATGAACATGAATTTACAAGTTGTGCTGGTGCTGAAACTATCAAATTCCTAATTCCTGGCAAGAAATACCTAACCAATACCATTTTTCATGCTGTGCTTGCTGGAGTAGTGTGTGGACTTGGAACATGGTATCTGCTCCCCAACAGATTAACCTCGCTTTATGGCAGTATGGGGGGCACTGTGCTCTTATTCATCTTTGGCTGGCTGACCTTATGTATAGGAGAATATTCATTGATTGTAAACACAGCTACAGAGACTGCAACTTTCCAAACTCAGGATACTTATGAAATCACTCCCCTCATGAGACCTCTTTATATTTTTTTCTTTGTTTCTGTGGATCTTGCACACAGGTAAAAAGCTATCAAATACTTTAGCATTGCCTTGGTTTGAAATATATATGGTAAGAGTAAGTATATATAGAAGTTTCCTTAGTATTAAAAAAATGAATCCTTGAATTAAAAATGAGGACCAAACTATTAGATGATAGAATGTTTTGCCGATTAATATTTTAGACTTTATTCTATTTGAACATTCCTTCTAAAGCAACCATTGAAGTGAAGAGAGAGATATTGAAAAAGCCTCTTTTTTGGTAAATAAGTGTGCTTTATTTTTTCAATCCTAAATTTCACTTTAAATAAGAAACTTTGAATTTTTAAAGAGCCTTGCTGAAATCAGTGAGGTGAAATGGAACTTTCCTATTGGGCGAAAATGAAGAATTAAAATAAATGTATATATAAATAATTGTACAGTTGAGTGACTTTTTAGATGTAGATAGTAATAGTTCTAATTTTATTATGTAACAATAGTATAAGAATCATGATTTTTAATAAATTCATTATAGAAGAAAACCAGAAAATAGAAATTTCTAACAAACAAAATTATTTATAAACTTTTTATTTGCCTTTTCTAAATCTGTCTTTTCTTTCTCCATTTCCATAGATTTCAGCTTTCTCTTGCTCAGGTTAGTGTCCAGGTAGAACTATAGGCATTTAAAATAGTTAGCCATTTTGTGTTGTTCAACTGCCCTATCCTTAAATAGCTGTTTTCTAGTCTTTAACTCTTAATCTATTCTAATTGTGTTGTAGTTCCATACCAGAAGATGCTGTATAATACCCTTGCTGTTCTTTATCTAATCAATTATGTAAGGGGATAATTAATCTAGAAGAAATTGATTTATAATTGACTTCTTAATATACTACCATTTACTAAACAAGACGTATTATAATTGTTTTAATTTTTTAAATCTAGCAGTAAATGTTCATATAAATATGCAGTATATTTGTGACCTCATCAGCTTTACATTTATAAGATTAGTATTTTTAGAATACATGCTTGAGTTACCAGCTCTCTGTGCCATCTCTAAAATCAGAATTTATATACATCTGATATATTTTTAAATTTAGAATGATGCCTAAGTTCTTTTTTTTTTTAAAGTCTTAGTTAATTTATAATTTGGTTGCCTGAATTTGCTTTACTCATTTCTTTTTTTTTTAAAAATTGGGAAAAACTTATTGGGGGTACAGGAGGTGAGGGTTGGGGGCAGAAGGGTGAGGATGGGCCAGGATGTGGTTGCAGAGATGCACAGTTTGGCTGGTGGGGGGAGCAGGTGAAGGAGATGATGAGGGTCCATTGGGGATTAGATGCTACAGAGGAATAACAAACATTTTCCAATGGTAATTAAACCAACTGTCTTATTGATTTGGGAATTGGATGCTGACTCTCTGGCTTCTTCATGCTGAACAGGGGCGTAGATGTAAAGGGGGGAAGGGAGGATGCTGTATCACCTTACTGGTGGTCTTGGGTTA